CCAAGAACTCTATTCTGTATGGAAAAATGCTTTAATATTAAAACATACATCTGTCAAATGAGAAAAATTCATTGTTGACTAAGCAAGTTAAGTGAATGAAGGAAAATTACTCACGACTCCATTAGTAATTATAAATGTATTTTTATTCTAACTCTTTTCCTCAGTGATTTAGGGAAACACTATAACAATATCATGCATTTGTATTGACGTCGTTGTATGGCACAGTTGTGTGGCATACACCCAAATCAGCATAAAAGCTTGTTTAATTGGTTGCACATAGACTCATGTCTAAGGCACCCATGTCCACCTTATTAATGGCAGGCTGTGTATATGGTTTGTGGAGTCTTGTTTTCATAACTGAAATACTGCTTCTCATTTAATGGTGAGAAATCTCAGGTCTTAATCAAAATTCTGGGCAGTATTTGTATCTACTTTATTTCCTGCATAGATAAAATATCACATTTTCTCTCTTTTTCTACATTTGTCTTTTCTCTTTGTATAAGCCATATCTACTCAATAAATAATAGAAAGCTATAGAGAGTTAATAACCATTATGAACATTTGTTTTCATTAAGGGGCTCTTATTACATATGAAGTGATAATATTCAATAACTTAATAAATAGAGCGACTATTAAATAAAAATCCATATTGAAGATATACTCCTAAGTGAAATAAATAAGTCACACATGTGTAAATACCGAATAGTTTCCCTGGTGTGAATACTCTGCAATAATACATAAGATTCTAATAAGATTACTGACATTTAGAAATGGGAAGAAAGGAGCTAAAGATGTAGGGAAGGTGGGATGGGTAGGGGAAGAACAAAAAAGGAAAAGAAAAACGTGAGAGAATGAAAAGATGAAAATAAAGTGTTTGTAGTTGGGGAGGGGAAGAGGGGGTGAAGGGAGGGCAGAGGTAAGGGGAAAAAATGAGAATCAAGACTTGTCACGTAGAGGTACAAGATCCCAACAATGAATGTAACTGTACTGTATCCCTAAAATGTACCAATAAACTCAATTAAAGCTGAAAAAAAAAATTCCCCAGAGGGGAGGAAAAAAAATCCAAATATAAACCGGGCGGGCATGGTGGAGCATGCCTGTAATTCCAGCACTTGGGAGGCTGAGGCAGGAGGATCGCTGTGAGTTCGAAACCAGCCTGGACTACATAGTGAGTTCCAGGTCAACTACATAGTGAGACCCTGTCTCAAACAAACAAACAAACAAACAAAATCCAAATACACAAGCGGTGTCACTTTTATGTTGCAAACATTAGCAAGAGCTCTGCGTCTGTGGAATGACCCATGGTTAGGCACCAACGCTGCATTAGGATAGGATGCTTTTTTCTGCCTCTGAACAGATTTCTAGTTCTAATTATCATGCAACAAAGAAAGGAGCAGTACAAATGACGCTGAACAGAGACGAGCCCCAGGAAATGCAGAACTTCCTGAAAGTAAAAGCTGGGTCCTTTTCTCTGGGAGGCTGCTGGGTGTTGTGCCCAGAGCGCCTGCCTCACACACCACTGGGAATATGATTCATGCTGCATTCAGCTTGCACTCTTTTGTGACTTTGTTTCGCTTACACAATGCAGAAGATTTCCACATCTCCAAATCCATTTTATGTGCTCTATGCAACCATTTGCATAGAGTTGATTTTATGTAAGTTGAGTGCCACATATTAGGAGGATATTCTCTGCATGTGTAATGAGAGGAAAACCGTATTACCTTCTTCCTCTGTGCCAAAGTGCTGCATCTTTGCTGTCAATGTAGAGAAGAATGCAGGGATGGCAGCAGAAAGGATCATTGCCACGAGTCCCTTCCCTGACCAAGCACAGGGGTAATAGCTGGAGATTTCAGTGAGTCACACGTTCTTTCTTGTGACACAGATGAACCGTCTGCTTCTGCTGGACACATGGTTCTTTCTCGTGTGTCAAGGTCCCCATTTTGGTAATGACACCCTCGCTTCATTGTCTCTGGGACACACCGCAGGCCGGCACGCAACTCTCCCATGAGGTTCTCTTCTGTCTTCGCCGTCCTGCTCTGGGGTCCACACAGCCATTTAAAATGACGGATTTCCAGCCTTCCTTTCGATACTGGCTGCGGCTGGGACATGACTGGGCTCAGTGAGGTAGGAAAGAATTTCCCAGGGGCCCCTTCCTCTCTGCGCTCCTGCCATCCTGCGGGCAGCCCGTGAGGCCCAGAACAGAGTGAGCCTGTGACTGCGTGACCATCGGGAGTATGAAGGGGGAGCAGGCTGGGATCATCATGCGGGAAGCAAGAGAAAATCGGATCCCAAATTTTACGGGCGAGCTTCGGCAGTCCTTACCTCTGGGCATATTATATGAGAAAGGGAAACTCACTTACTTCACAAACCGCCGTATTTTCCATTTTTGTGCGGACAGACACTCCTGTGCACTGTGCTCTCTCCTGTCCTGTTTCCTCAGTGTCGTCGGTCCCACTGGCCCCAAGTCTGGCAGTGCACTGCATTCCCGTCACAGTGGACTGGTTTGGGGTGTGCTTTACTGGATTGAATCGTTCACAGAGCTGTCTGGTCTTCTCACCTATAATTTCACACACCACGCTGTTTACTGGCTTCTTTTGGGGAGAAGCCCAAGATCCTTACACTGACACGACCCTCCGCTGCACCTGTCTCCTGTCTGCCTCTCCAGAGTCACACTCAGGGAAACGCTCCTCCACCTGCCAGTGTCACCTGTGCCAGCGGTCCCTCTTGTCCTTGTGCAGCCTGCCCGTTCAGTCTGGAGCGCCCTGGCAGCTCTGTCCTGTTCCTCATCCTTACTCCCTGCTCTGACTGGACCTACATACACAGCTTTCAAGGCAGCCCACTCTGCCCCAGTGCTGTCCCGGATAAATATCCCTGCCACACACTGTCGGACTCCACCAGTAGCGCAGGCTTGACCCTCTGCCTGTCATCACCACTGTGTCAAGAGCACTGCTTCTTGCCTATCTTTACTAGTGGATTCTCTGAATAAATCATTTTTCACATTTTGCTACACAGAAAATGCAGTGTTGGAAAAACCGAGGGGAAAATGGTAATTTTGATCGATTGTAACCAGATACGTTATTAATTAACTTTCTCAGCAACTCATATTTTGAAATTACTTCACATCAGTGACTATTTCATTAATGCTACATCTTGTGCAGAGGGACAACGTCTTCTTATCCTGTGTCTAGAGGAAGAACTATGGTCCCAGGAGAAGACACGGCTTGCAGATAATAATGGAATTAGAAGGCAGGCTTCCAATTTTACTCACAGATATTTTCACTGCTGTACAAAGAGTTCTTTAAATCCTACAAAAGAACACTCAAAATGCTTTCTTAATTAATGTGTCATAGAAACATTAATTGTTGCAAACATTACTAGTTTAAAGCTGTATATTTAATTGTTACTCTTTTAATAACAGGACTCCTATATAGCTCCCTTTAGCTTAGAAACATTTCTAAATTTGTTTTCCTAAATCTCATTGGCTGAAGTGAAATCTGGAGAGATTTGTTACTCAATTATACCTCTTACATCGGATGACAAAAGTATGTAACTTCCTAATATTACCTGATCTCTGATGTTCTTTGTAAAGTCAGAAAATCTGATCTTTGCATAAAAGATACAAATAGTTGCTTGGTGCTTCCTGTGGTTGTGAACCTATAAAAGGAGCTGTTTCTGTAGAAATAAACCAGACTTCTCTTGGTCTCCACTCAGGCTTGAGTGCTCTTTCCTTTCTCAATCCTCACTCCCTGACTCAGGCATGTTCGTGTTGTGACGGCTGAGCCGCCACAACAAAGGCCATGTCAAAGATTCAGTCACATACTTGGATGCATGCAGGAGCCTTGAGGCTTTTGAGTTCTACAAGGGCTGAAGGGTTTTTGAGTCGTGAAGTGGGGTCAGTAGTCTTCGGGAAATTCAGCAAAAGGCACAGCAGATGGCCCAAGGGTTTTCTCCTCTGTCTCCTTCTCTGTTTCAGATGGAGGGTGGTTAATCTGAGAAATGTTTGGAGTTGTCCTTCAGTTCTTTCCTCAGGGACCTTTATGGGCAGCTGCCCTCTGCTGACTGCCCCACTGGTGTGGTCTTGGAAGAAAGTTTCCTGGAGCTCACAGCCAAAGATCCACCTTCCAGAAGAGTCTGCGAGCAGGAAAAACGTGGACAGCACAGGCCAGGACCCCATGCAGGCAGACAACACAAAGAGCACGTGAGGCCCACAGTTGCAGGTGCAGCCTTTCTGGGAGCACTGCCTAGGGTGCAGGCCACCATCCCCGCTGAGCAGCAGGTGTGCTGCTCGCAGCCGAATGTCAAGCAGGGCCTGTCTGACAAGCAGAGGACCAGCGGAGTGGTACACTTGCTTCACGATGCTACGTCCAAGTAGTAAAGCAGAGAGTAACCAGAAAACAAACATACCATGCCAGGCAAAGGTGTCCAGGAAGATTACAGCAAGAAAGGGGAATAGGGAAAGCATGAGGATGATCTAATAGATTAGCTCTCTATAAAGATGACACACACATGTATAAAATTTTCAGGGAAGCTCTTCTGCTAAGGAGATAGGTAAAGAGATCTGAATTCAAGACGCAGGACAAGAAGCAAAGGCACTAGGAGAAGGGATTTAGGCAGGGTGAGCCTGAGCAGGTCGGGAGGAGCGCAGACTGCCCTGCTGAGTCCCCTGAGGAGAGAAGGACAGGAGAGGAGATCATGAATCTGTGATAGAGTGGGCAGAAGTGGGCACCTCCCTCAGCTCAGGCCCTGGCCAAAGAACATAAAGAGGTCTCTCCCTGAGAGGAGGTGAAGAGCTGGGAACAAGGGGCAAAGGTGCAAATGCCTCTGCCTTCCAGAGAACCGCGGCCTACGCCTGTGGCCAGCAGGAACAATCGCCGTGCAGTGACCTAGGCTGTGTTCCGGGCGCAGGGTCAGGCTGCTGGGCACACTTGGAAGACTGTGCAGAGGCCCCAGAGCAGAGATGCAAAGGCAGCTCGGAAGAGGAGGTGAAGAGCTGGGAACAAGGGGCAAAGGTGCAAATGCCTCTGCCTTCCAGAGAACCGCGGCCTACGCCTGTGGCCAGCAGGAACAATCGCCGTGCAGTGACCTAGGCTGTGTTCCGGGCGCAGGGTCAGGCTGCTGGGCACACTTGGAAGACTGTGCAGAGGCCCCAGAGCAGAGATGCAAAGGCAGCTCGGACACCACGCACAGGTGGAGTTCCAAAGGGCATAGCGGGGCTCATGAGGTGACCACTGGGATGAAGAATATTCCAGGCTGCGGGCATCGTTTGTCTGAAAGTGTAAAAGCTCAGGACAATATTTCAAACTGATCCTGAGAAGTAGCGTGAGGAGCAAGGCACTGGAGCCAGAAGAGAGCCCAGATGTTGTCTTTGGATGAGAGACTTACTCAATCTTCCGTTGGAAAGGGGCTTGCAGTGCCGATTCACAGAATAGCTGTCCTGATTGGTGACACTCAGTGTCAAGAACCTGGTTTCTCCTGCCTGGACAGTTAATCCTGCCCACTGTCTTCACCTGGAAAACTCTGGTTTTACAACGGATGCAGGTTTGGTTTCATTATTTTACAGAGTGTGCTAAGAGAATATCTGATGCGCAAGTGTGCGAACTGGTACAGGGACAGTTTACTCTCTCCTCAGGTAGTCTGTGTGAGGGAGAAGAGGCACAGGACCAAGGCAAGGGCAGAGAGAACAGGGAAGAGGAGGAGATTTCAGCGACACTCGGTGACATGAAGAACGGAGTTTGTTATTAGGTGGGTAGGAGGGAGGAGTCAGGAGTAACTTCCCAGGGGGACAGCTGAGAGACAGGAAGAGTTTTGGCAGCATTCACTGAAACCTGCTAGAAGCTGCTTTCAGTTGTGTGATGAAGAGGGAAACATAAGGTCAAATCCGTGTAGTGATTTGGAGACATCTCCGGCTCACTGCAATCAGAAGCAAAGGCCATTACTGAGAGCAGGGTGAAGCCAGCTGGGCTCACTGGGGCATCGGAGCATATTTTGGTGGATGACATAATTCTGCAGGGAGAGTGTTACAGAAGAGGATGAGGGGATGCGGTGTAACCCAGATAATGCTGTTACTGTATGTACAGAGCTCACAGTCTCATGGCATGAAGGGACGAAATTATGAACCAAGGGAGAAGGCTAAGATGGGTTTTTTTTTCTGTTTTGTTTTTTCAAAGAATAAAAATAGGCCTTGGATTTCCCGGCAGGGTTCCAACTGGGTAGCTACCAACGTTCTTTGCCAAGATGATTTTATATAGCAAAATCACCATCTGGCAGCTGTGGGCCAACCACAACCAACCTACAGGACTGCAAGTGTATTTGCTTAGCTAATGTTGATCCAGCAGCCAGGCGAAGCCCACACCTTGGGCACATGGCTAGCACCCTTAACTTTTCTAACTTGTACTGGAAAGGGCCGGGAGTCCTGGTCGATGTTCTGATCACCCGCTCTTCTGTGTGTCTGATGCCTGTCTGTGCCCACTGACAGTCTAATCTCAAGCTGCTGTTCCTTTCTAGGGGGCTACAGGCCTGGCTGTTGTGTCTCCTCTTGAGGTCCAGCCCTCTTAAGATTCACCTCCAGCCACAGCACAGGTGTGTCTCAGCCTCAGCACTGACTCCCTGGAGGGCACGATCCCTCTCTGGCTGCTGGTTGGCTTCTGTCTAACTTAGCTGTCCATAACATTAGCATGGAAAAGGCAAGTGTAATGAGGAAGAAATCTTGAAAGGAATCTTATAACATCACACAGAATTTAAGAGATTCACAAGGCTGGAGGTACTTAATAATTGATTTTTAACATATTTAGAGAAAAATATCACAAAGCGTAGTTTATTGTAGCTTGAAGATTTTCTTACTGAAGAACTTTCTGACTAAAATCACCTTAACAGCCTGTACCCTAAAATCTCGAGTGATGGGTAAAATGAGCAATGATAGTAAGTCTCATATGTCAGAAAACAAAATTGTACCTGACGTATACATTTTAACACTCTATGGTCAGCTGCCAAGTTAACATCATCTCACTGAAAAGAGTAACTACCTCAGAGAAGTGGTGTGGCCAGTGGAAAATCTTCCTTTCTGTGATATTTATATTGTCGTCTCATTTCCAACACTCATTTAGATAACACAGAAGTTTTTCTGCATTCTCGAGAAGTTTGATACCAGCCTGACACCTCAATCACTAACATTTCTTTAAACACAGTTGAATTGCCCAACCAGGAGGAGTACCAGCTTCCTTGTCTAGCAGTCATCCAGTAATTATGTCTGAACTTCTCCTGGATTGTTCAAAAACTATTTTTATTTTCAAAACACATAATTCCTGTGTTATTTTAGTTGACTATGAATTGGCATTTCAGTGAAATTCATTAAACTCTATTGTTTCAGTGTAAAGTGCAACTCACATGGGAGCAGACATTCCGTATTCACCCGATCTTCAGAAGTGGGCTTGATATTTCCAAGTGTGGGTTTGCAAAAGTCTGGTCTTGAAAAGTTCACCTATGGATGAAAGCAAATGTCAGCATCCGCATCCAGTGACAAAGTCCATGTCTGGCCTTGCATTTATTTTGATGTCAGAGATGAGCACGGCATCTTCAAATGCCATGAACTTTGGACCAACTCCATGCCGAAAGAAAGTGCCACATAAATGCAGGCTCTTTCCATGAAAAGGGAGCTTTCCCCAGTCATTGTGAGCTCCCATTCCTCTTGACAGGATCTTACATGTTCTAGTTATAGACGAAGATGCACCTGTGAAAGAGATCTTGGTTGGCCAGCATTGAAGAGAAACAGGAATGATCCGGTCTGTGAAATAAGTAGAAGGGAGACACAAGAAGCTTAGGGGAGCAGGTGAGAGCCTGGAGGTGGACTGTGACTTCGAGACAAAGTCCAAAACTGCAACCTCACTACTAGACTAGAAAATGAAACAGTTAAATATTTCAAACTAGTTCCTGGCAGGCTGGACAATTCAAATTAAATGTTAAATTATTGTCACCACTCTTTGTGAAGGAACTGAGTGGGTCCTGCCCACTGAAGAGAACGAGTGTTTCAGGTGTAGTTTTCCCGGGAGAACGGCGGAGCGGGTCAGCCCACGCGTGAACACTGAGGGTCACTACAGAAGGACCTGCGGTGAGAGCACGCACACTGCTGCTGCTCCTGCAAGGGGGCGGTCACAGGAGGGGGGGACCCGGGCCAGGTAAAGGCCTGGAGTGCGCCATAGCTGTCACTGAACGCTTAGAGAAGACACTGAGGGAAAACAAGTGACAGAGTTTGTCAGACCTGTGTGAGAAGACTGCAGCTTTAAAATATATTTCAGACTAAGAAAAACCCCTTCACTGAACTGCACTTCTCCTTTGCCTGATCCATGCCTCCAGCCGCTGAAAAATATTCTGTGTTTTCACTTTTGAGGTAGCCGGGAAGCCCAGGAGCCCAGGAGAGCAGGCTGCTCACAGTCAGGGGCCTGAAAGAAGCTGGGCTGTGGTCCCTGGCGGGG